AGATTATTTAACAGTTAAATACATCCCAACAGCAGTGTCCCACAGGACAACTGCTAGGTTGGGTGGCCCTGGAACATGTGCTGTCAGTCACAGAAGCATGGTTTCAATATTCCGGTGTGACTTAGGCTCCTCACAGTAAATCATATTCCTGACGAGGGACAGGCAGGCAGGTCTGGCAGTGGGCGTCTCACTCGGTGGGAACCTCGTATTTGAAGATGACACTGAAGAGCTGGCCCCCTAGCCGCTCTGCCAGCCAGGCGTTCTTTACCACTGCCAGCTTGAGGCTCTCGCAGCGCAGCAATGCATGGTAGTTGGTGTGGATGGCACGGCCCATTCCCTCGATGACCACCAGGTCCGCACCACGTTCTCGCACCAGCACGGCCAGTCCCTTGTCTAGGCGGCTTCAGGGAAGAAGGTGGCAGCAAGGTTGGGCAAGGGGCTGGACATAGCCTGCTCTGAGCACACCCTGGTGAACACCAACCCTGTTCCCTTGGAGGTGGCAACCAAGCCCACCCTTCCAGCACTGCCTGGCTCCCCCAAGGCCTGCATTTCTGACATGTCCTTTGTCTACTACAATCTAATTCTTTGCAGAAAGCACTAAAGGGAGGGCCAGCAGATGGCTCAGTGGGCTCAGGCACCTTTCACCAAGCCTGATGACTCGAGTGTCCTCCACAAAACCCACATGGTGAAAGGAGAAAAGCTGCTGTGGGAACGACGGGGCAGAGCCCCTGCTACAGGAGGGTGCCTGCACCTGGGTCAGTTGCCCATCTGCCTTACAGGCTACAGGAAGGAGTGGCTACTGCACCGGTCATATTTAGGGCAGGCAGCACCATGGTGCCTAGCAGAGGAGAGCAGGGCCGGGTTACCTGAGATCCAGGCACGGGGAGCTGGAACCAGTCTGCACTAGCAGCAGCCTGTCTTCTCTGAGTGCAGAGCTATGGGAAACGATGCAGTCAGGCCCAGTAAAGCCCCCCTCCCAACCCTTCTTTGTAATATCTCCGAGTCCCTCCCTCTTATGCCCATCTCCTGCCTGGCTCAGCTTGGGCGGCCAGAACCTACCAGACAATGGGGTCCATGGCCGCAATGCGTTCTGCCACAATGAGGGACTCACTGTAGGTGACATCATTCAGGGCAGGGCCTGAGTTGCATGCCAAGATGACCTATGGTGAGGGGGCAGCGGCTCTTTAGAACTTGGGCCAAAACTCACCAAGCTGTCCCTGGCAGATTCCAAGTAGCAGCCAGCTGGGCAGCAGGGCCCCCAAAGAATCTCAGGGCTCTGTGGCTTCTGAGAGGCAGGGCTGTGCTCAGAGCACACTCTATTGCCTCTTATCCCATCCTTGGCCTGCCTTCTGGATCAGGATAACCTCTCATGTATGCCCAAGTCTCTGGTAAATGCCTTTCCAGGAAACAGGAAGCAGTGAGAGCCCAGGCTTTAATCTACAGCCCACACCCACAGGCCCAAGTACTCCCTGGCCTCACCTGCACTCACCTGCCACAAACGTAGGAGCTCTGACCACGGCCAGAAGCCCACAGCAACGCCAACCCCGCCAACAGCGAAGCCCAGGGGAAGGGTCCCACCCACCCGGCCTTCTCACTCACCTCCGTCCCTCTACAGAGTAGCTCCCTGACAAAGGGGAAGACTCCCAGAATGACGTCTATCCCACTGTTATCTGCGAAAATTAAGGCACATTTATGAGGGGGCCCCTGTAAGACAAAACCAGGACGTTCAGTTGGGAACAGGTGCACTCAAGCGATTCACACCCCACTGTCCTCTACACCCCACAAACCCCCGCAGGGGCTGGGTCCAGGCACAGGTCTCACGGCAGGTGATGGGAGCAGAGCAGTTTGTCCCAAGGCCAGGTGACCCAGGCAGTAGTCACTGCAGGGGCCATGCAGGGAGTAGGGGCATCTTTCTCGCCTGTGGTGCTGGGGATGGAACCCAGAACCTCATTTATGCCGAGCAATTGTTCTTTTACTGAGTCACACCTAAGCCTAGTTCCTCAGCTGGGGGCTTGTGAGCTCTAAGTGGTGGGCCACAGGCTATACCTGTGTCCCAGGGCCACTGGGGGGGGCAGGGGTTGCTACACCCACCTCACAATAAGCCCAATGCCTCTGGTGGCCACCCTTCTTAGCCAGGTCCAGACTCTGTGTTCCAACCCCCAAGGGCAGAAGCAGAAGCACCTTACGTACCTTTAACCTCTGGAGCCACTTGGTGTAGGAATCCACAAGCCAGGGCCGTTCTGTGAGGAGACAGGAACTCCAGTCAGGGAAGCTGAGGCTCAGTGTCAATGGCTTGTTTTGACAAGGGCTGGGCTCTCTCACCTCACGCACACATGGTTACTCCTGCCCCACTGCCTAACTTCTCCAGGGTCAACCACCTACCCACACAGCACACCAAAGCACCCACGGTGTCCATACCTTGCAATTTTCTCTTTGCTTCTTCAAACCCAAACTGGGGGTCTGATTCAAGGACACTGTGTAGAGAAGAGAAAATTAAAATGAAGCAAAAAACACAAAGCAAGCATTCCAGCCCAAATCAACATGGTGAGGCGTCTCCCATATAGGCTGTGCTGAACTGCTGGCCATCTCCACTCAGCAGGCAGCCCAGCTTGGGGCAGAGCCGACTGCAGATATGAACAGAACTCTTCAGTGGAGTATAATAGTTCAGACCTGCTCAGAGCACTGCAGCCAGCTCCCTCTATGCCTGGCAGCCTCGGCTACCCCACCACCACACACTGGGGCCTGCATCTCAAAGGGGCAGCTGTGAGGAGGGGGAGGCAGCCAGGCAGCATGGTCACCCGACGAGGCGCAGGCCTGGGGTAGATTACCATGAAGTCAGCAACTCTACAGTTGTTCAATGCTCCTCCTAGCGTTCAGTTGAGGCCGACATCTTTGTAAGACCCCTTGGTTACATCAGACACTAAGTATCATCCATCCCTACAGAATTTAGTGACTATGGATTTGGATTTTTACCCTGAGAATGTCAGCCTAGAGTCCAAATCTACCCCACTATGATATGGGCCTGCCTGGAACATGATGGGTCTGGGTCTAGATGGCCTGGTGGCAGGATGGACTGGCTGAGCAGGCCTGACACCTACTCAGACACGGCCTTGGCTCCCCAGTCGAAGACATTCCCAGCTAACAGCCCCTTCACCAGGGCCAGCTGCCGCTCTTCCCAGCCTAGAGAGTCCAGCGAGCGCGTCACACTCTGAAAGCACTTCAGTGCGAGGCCGTTTTCTTTCTGCTTCACCTGTGGGGGGGACACACAAGCACCGCTTTATTGGTGCTCACCCTGGAGGCGGGCCCTGACCACTCTTTGTAGCTTCTATGGAGTCTCCAACTCCACAGGGAACTCCACACAAAGGAGGCTCACTGAGGATGCAAACACTAACAATACCAGGGAGGTGATAGGGACACTTGCGGTCACGCTCCTGCGAGGTACTACTCAGGGCCGACCCCCTGTTGCGCCACGTTACTTACTGATTTGGGGCAGTCCTCAGGTCTACATTGTGTTGGGTGAGGCAGAGCGGCATTTTGGCACACAAGGGGAGGGCAGAGGACACACACCCCCAGAGGCCACTGTGCACAGGTATGTGGAGAAGGGACAAGATGCCCAACAGCAGGGAAAAGAAGGGGCCCACAGCTTCTAGCCAGAGGATCTGAGGGGTGTTGACACATGGGACAACAGGGGCTGCACCCCAGCTCCTGATTGGAGCTGTCCACTGAGAAGCAGCCAGTATGGGCTCAGATCTCCTCATCTGGGCACAACAGAATGCTACTGAGTCCTCTGCACCCTACCTGCAGCCTGAAGAGCTCACCTTGGAGTAGGGATCTGGGAAGTTGAACTCATTCAAGCAGTGCTCTCTCGTGTCCAACAGGCTGCGCACAGTCAGTGTCCCGTAGGCACTGTGGACAAAACCAGGATGGAGTGTGGCTGAAGAAGACAGGTCTCACAGAGCCCAGGAAAGTCCAGCGAGACCCCTCACACAGCCAGAAGAGACCGCACCACGTCACAGGACTCACAAGGGCTGGTGCCGCAGTGTCTGCAGTTTACTCCAATACTTCTGCCGGAACTTCTCCGCCCTCTCAGCTGCATCGATGGACTCTGGCTGGCTGGCAACAGCTCGCTTCACCACCTGCCAGCAGCAGAGGGTGTCAAAAAAGCTCTGCCCTGCACCTGGGCACAGCCCGAGGGTAGGCACAGGCTGGTGGGGCTTTGCCCAGCTGTGCTGGAGCACACCTGCACAGCTAAGACCAGTCTCTACGGCAATAATGGGGACGGCCTTGTCTGACGTTTCAGCTTTTAAAGACACCATCCTTGCTGAGCATCCCCCCTGGGGCTTTGGGAGACAGGAACAGACTGCAGGGTCTTACTGGCAGCTACAAACAATACGGCTCAAATTTATGTCCACCAATGGGGGTCGTTTGGGGTCCAGGGCTGTGCCCCAGACTCAGGCTTACCCAGATGTCTGAAAGAGGGTTGGGTATTCCTACTGTGGTCACAACCACCTAGCCTGCCTGAGCTCCAAGTTTAGTGGCTGTAGCCCTGCCGTCACACCTCCCTGGGGCTAGCACTACTACCACACACAGTGCTGGCAGTGGAAAAGGAGGGAAATGCACAAGAAGGCACATGGTTTGATTCTGAAGTGTCCCCAAAGTGGCCCACGTGCAAGCAGTATTCAGAGATGGACCCTGGAAGGGGAGCGGCTCACAAGAGCTCTTCACCGATGGAGTCTACTGATGGACTTAAAGGGTAAGACCATCATGAAGTAGAATGTGGGAGGCGGGGCCTGGCTGAGAAAGTAGTCACTAGGGGCTTGCTTGCCTTGGAAGAGTGTAATATGCATGTTTGTTTGTATGTATGTATGCACGTACATATACACTGAGATAGGATCTTACTATGTAGCCTTGGCTGGCCTTGAACTCACTATGCAGACCAGACTGGCCTCACACTTGCTGAGATTTGCCTGTCTCTGCGTCCTGAGTGCTGGGAGCAAAGACCACATTAGCCTTGAAGAATGGATCTTGCCCTGGCCCCTTCCAGTCTCTCCCTATCTGCTTTCTGGTTGGTTGCCACAGAGTGAGCAGCTTTGCCTTCCCACGCCCCGCCTCTGCAATGCCCCGCCTCTGCAATGCCCCGCCTC